TTTATTCGTTTCGAGAGGCGCGAGTGTGTGAACCTCCTAACACCTATCGAGCGATTTATGGCGCGGGAGCGGCTTGTCGACGGTCAGGACACGCGATCTTCATCACAGCGCCCGTGCGCATCCCAGAAACTCCCAGCCGTGCACGATCGTGCCAGCGAGCAGCCCGGGGCCCGACCCAAGCCTTCCTTGCAATTGTTCCCGAACCCTTATGTGTGCCTTTGACCTGTTTGACTTTGTTTTACGTGTTAGGACTATATGTGTCATTGTTATGTATTTTTGTGGTCAAGTCTAGATGTAGGACCCAAGTGTTCCAATATCCACAGAACTTCACGAACTACTTGGTTGAATCAAGTTCGACCAAGGGTGCTTGTGATTGTTCTCTAGGGTCAAGTAAGTGTTGATCTTAGTATATAATTGTTGTAGGTGTTTGACGAGCCGTGCTCGCTGCCTACATCCGTTGTGTGCCATTTTTCTCTGTTGCTACACTAGGTGGGTTTACTTATAAAATTATCTATGCCATACGTGTGTTTAAGTGTTTGGTTGGTATGACCAATGTATGAATGTGAACCATGTGGCCTACTGATGTGAGCTGTTACGACCGTCGGTACGGTTTTCCCCGACGAGTTACGGTACGGTTGCCCTTGCGAGGCAAGTCTCCTTAAGACCTAATGAAAGGCCATGTCCATTACAGTGGCACGCACTCCCGTCGTTAGGGTTTATGCATCCCCTTTCCGCGGCTAATGATAGATGTGCACATGAGTGAGTTATTGTTGTGATTAGGAGATGAGACATGATGATGATTGATTTATATTCATACTGCGACCATACCATCTTAACATGTATTATTTATGTGCATAGTGGTGAGCACGCTTTTCATCTGGTGCTCATCCCCACTTGCTCTTTACTGATGCAGGTTAAGCAGGAGCTGGGTGACGAGAAGAGACGAGTGGATCGGTCATTTCTATTTATCGCTTCCGTATGAATAAGGCTTTATGAACCTTTATGTTGAGACTTGATTATGCTATTTTTCCAGAACCTATGACTTGCTTGTCTTGAAAATTTGTAGAACCCGGATTGTTGGGTATTATGGTTTGATTATATATTCATGTTGAGTATTATGTCTCGTGATGTGTTTCGGTTAATGAAAACCGTTTGTTAAAACCGGGTAATGAATCCCCGTGAGCCCAGATAAGACTTGGGTTATGAAAAATGTTGTTTAACACCCATTGAACTTTCGAAAATGATTTTGAAAATTTTACACTGATTTTTTGGAAAGTCCAGAATTTCTTTAAAATCAAAGTGGGGTGTTACACTCGAGTTACAACTTCTTAGTTGTTCAGAATCGACTTCGTAGTCGTAGGCGTCATAGCCTTGTCGAGGTTCTACTCGAGTTACAACTTCATAGTTGTTTAAATCGACTTTGTATTCGTAGGCTTCATAGCCTCGTCGAGATTCTACTCGAATTACAACTTCATAGTTGTTTAAATCGACTTCGTAGTCGTAGGCTTTATAGCCTCGTCGAGATTGTACTCGAATTATAACTTTGTAGTTGTTTAAGTCTATTTCACAGCTTTTCTGAATTAATCGACTTTTCAATCGTTCCTTAAAATTCAACTTGTCGAGTGATCATAATGAAATTGGCATAGTTATGTAAAAGACACAATTGAAACACAAACTTGAAATTCATTGCATTACTGAATTTGATTCGAACGTTTTTCAGTACAAAAGGAGATTCAAGACATTGCCTTTAGGTATAAAAGCGTTTTAAATGGATCACGTGCCAAGATCAGGGCAGCTGTCGACCCTCTCTGTCTTCGAGTTCGTACGCTCCTCTTTCGAGAACTTTTGTGATGGTGAAAGGTCCCTCCCAATTAGCTTCGAGTTTTTCGACATGTTTGAGGGCATCTGCTCGTTTGAGGGCGAGGTCTCCAACCTGAAAACGTCGGGTTCGAACTCTTTTGTCAAAGGCTGCGCGCATCTTTTGCTTGTATTTGACGGTCCGCACCTAAGCTTCCTCTCGCCCTTCTTCGATTAGGTCGAGGGCCTCTGCCACCATCTCATCATTTTTTCCTTCTTCATAGAATGTCAACCTGTGAGACAGTAAGCCCACTTCGATGGGTAGGAGTGCGTCCATTCCATATACCATGTGGAACGGGGATTGGCCTGTTGAGCTTCTCGGAGTCATCGATAGGCCCACAGAACTGTTGTAACTCATCGACCCATGCTCCTGACGCTTTCTCTAGCCTCTTTTTCAGTCCTTGGAGGATAGTTCGGTTTGTCACTTCGACTTGGACATTCGCTTGGGGATGCTCCACTGAGGCGAAACGCTGTTTGATGCCCATGCCAAGGCACCATGTCTGGATTCGTTTGCCTTGGAATTGAGTTCCATTATCTGAAATTAATATATTCGGGACTCCGAATCGACAACAGATGTTGTTGAAAAGGAACGGTATCATTTTCTCTTCAGTAATCTTTGCTAGCGGCTCTGCCTCGACCTATTTGCTAAAGTAGTCGACCACGACTAAAAGGAATTTTCTCTGTCGAGTTTCCATTGGTAAAGGTCCCACCAAGTCGATTCCCCATTGAGCGAAGGGGATCGGGCAATTGATTGTCGTCATGGTTTCAGCCGGGATATGGGGAATCGGACCGTGTCGTTGGCATCTCTCGCATCCCCGCACTAGCTGTTCGGCCATCTTCCGTATCTTCGGCCAGTAGTAACCTGCTCTCAAGGCTTTGCCGGCTAAGGCTCGAGATCCTACGTGCGCCCCACAACATCCTTCATGAATTTCTTGTAGGACATGGTTCTCTTCTTCTTCAGAAACGCAACGCAGGTGAGGCCCAATCATCGACTTCTTATACAAGATCCCGTTGACTTCAAAGTACATGGTTAGATATCGGGCAGCTTTCTCTGCTTCTTGTCTATCTCCTGTAGGTATGCGACCCTACAAGAGTTCACGAATTAGCTTCCTCCAATCGTCCTTTTCGTCGACTTCCATTGTTTGGCGGAGGACACTTCCCTCCAGGTGCATCGTGGTAATATAACCTCCCATTTTTCCTTCATTGGAGCTTGCAATTCTTGCGAGCCAATCGACTCGCTTGTTTTCCTCTCGAGAGATTTGAGTCAGCTTAAACATCTCCAGACCTTGTATGAGGCTTTGGATTTCCTCAACATACTTCATCATTCTATCTTTTTTTACTTCGCAGTTTCCCATTACCTGGCCAACGACCAATTGCGAGTCGGAATGGGCCACGATTTATGTCGCTCTGCCACCAATTGCGAGTTGGATCCCTTTAATTAGTGCCTCATACTCTGCTTCGTTATTCGAGGCCTTGAAGCCCATTCTG